GGGGGGGGGGGGGGAATTATTTCTTTCTCTGCTGTTTTTTAACCTGCCTCTTTTTTTCTGTCAGTGGGTTATTTTAAATCTTCCTGAGAACCATATCTTTAATATTAAATTAAAGGGTTAGCTAAAAGGAACGTAGTGGGTGGATTGCTACCACTTCCCTCAAACCTACTTATTATGTGTCTTCTTAAGTGTGCTTTAAATAGTTATAGCAAACATCATCGCTAAAAATCACAGTTACTTTCTGGCTGTAGGAGGTTCTCTGTATCACTCAGAGTCTTGGAGCAGTAGGAGAGGCAAATCAAAAAATCTGGAGTGCTTTTGAAACTGTCGCAGAAGGGGAGCAGAGCGTGTGTGATAAGCTGCAGCAACGAATTGTGCAAGGAAGAAAGAGAAAAGTACACTGGGTGAACTAGGGCAGGATGAAGTTCCTGCCACACCAAAAATAAGACGTCTCCTATTGAAGAGATGAGGGCTTACAGCAGGAGCAGCCTGTGCAGGGGGAGGTGCAGGAAAAGGGGACAGCAGGGAGTGCAGAAACATTATGCTTCTGACTCGGGGGCAAGGGAGATGGCTGGGAATGTAGTTAATTAAGAGATTTAGAAAGAGGGTTGATCTATTTTAGGTAAAATTAGTTCATGGGTTTTGTCTAGCTATATGCTAGACAGGTTGTACTTTCTCTGAAACAGACAAGCCTAAAAAAAGTGAATGAGAAAATTGGGGATAGGAAAGGTGTGCAAGGAAGGAAGAGAGCAAGACCTGAGAGACAGAGAAGTATGGGCTGGGGAGGATGTAACTGGGTAGCTAAAAAGGCCTGATGGTGGAAGGGTATAAAACAAGGGATCAAAGGAGAACAGCACAGCCCAGTACCAGAAAAAGCAACAAGGAGGGCTGAAGGACAGCAGCTTAGATTGCAGAACTGCTCCAGGTGCCTTTCTGTTGAGGGATCTTCAGTGAAAAGATCCTATAACATCTTTGTGTCCTAGAAAGTGGTATGTACTTCCTCCTTGTTCTGTCCTCCTTGCATCTGAAAAGGATGTTAAGATATAGAGCTGTGCTTTGGAACTCAAATCAGGCCATCTCCTCACTTCTGTGACTTTCTCAATAAAGCCAAGTGTCATTCCCAGATCCTAAACTCAAGGAGGCCAAAATAGATTGGCCAGTCGTCTGCTTTGTCGAAGTTCCCTCAATATCAAAGAAGCAGGAGGATTTTTTTTGCAGACAGTAGATATCAATATTCCCCCTTTATCCAGTCAAAAATCACCTTAGGACTTCTTGTAAAATTAGCAGTCAGCAGAGGTCCTTCAGCTCTCCTTAGACCCATTTTATGAGGAACATTATTTTCCATCTGCTGCCCCCAGAACAGATGATTAATTTGAAACTAGCATCTGGGGAGGTGTGAAGTTGTATTAGGAAGTTACTTCCTGGCTTTTTTAGAATATGTCCTTTTGGAGGACCTCCTCTGAGTCTGAAAAAGCTACTTGACTGAATACAGGCGTTGAATGTAGGAAGCTTATGATAAAGGAAGAAAGCTGTCTCTGAATACCTAGACACTAAAAGATCTCCACAAAGAACAGAGCTGATGATTCATATGGGGATGTATTTCTGTGTCTTTAGAAATTGTTCCTAGAAGTCCAACAACCAAAAACTCAGCAGTCAAAGACCTCTTGAACTTGCCTTGTTTTCTTTCCCAAAGACAGCATGTCTTCATTCCAGCCTAAGCTTTGGTCCTGAGTACAAAAAAAAGACAATAGGTATGGTCTGTTTATTTGGTGCTACAACACTGTATTATATAAAAAAAAGACTCGCTTCATTCTGCTTGTCTAAAGCAGTACATAAGATCCTAAAAAGGAGCTTCTTGCGTAAATAGCAGGGTTGGGGAAAAGCCTTTCTAGTATAATAAATACCTGTGATAGGACTGTGTAATATATATACTTCTAGAAAACTCATTTAGAAAGACGTTCAGAGTCACAGCAGCCAAGCAGTGACCGCTGTGATGGCCAGGTGCTGATGTGCATGTACTTCCCATTCCACAGGAACTTGAAATAGAAAGAAATCTATTCTTGTTAAGCTGCCAGTATAGAGAAAATACAGTAGAACTAGCTGGCACTGGGACTTAAATCTCAGGGTGTTCTTCACCACATTTTACTTTTTTCCTTTTTTTTTTTTTCCCTCTTCAAGGTTTTCAGGCACAGATTTGGAGCCATAGTGTCTTCATTTTACACTAGCATTATGGCCAGTGTGGTTATTGATTTGCATGACTCCAGTGAGGTGGTCGATTATAAACACCTGTTGATGAAGTTTTTAGAGGATAAATGTTGGTGTAAAGCTTGGCTGATGTGCTGAGGATTTACTTTTTAGTGTTACAATGAGGAGATGTGATGCATCAGAAAGCTCAGCTGAAATTACATGGGGAAGCATTTGCACAGAGTCAGTGTGAAAGGTTTGTCTCTTCCATGCAGTAGGTAACTTCTGGTGAAGAAGGTTCCTCTCAAGCTGTACTATGAACTGTAGGAACAGAATTAAGTAGGTCGACCTGGTAGTACAATATAATTTTCCAGTTACATATCTGCTCCCTGACAAGCACTAACCTATATTAAATAGTCTGCTACAGACATCACATTTCAGAAGATGAGTCAGTAGAGATGCTGAAGAAAAACTCCTGGGTGCATATCTCCTCCAGCCTTCCCAGTGTGTCCCTGGGGAAAAGATGTAGCCCTGATCTAAGTGGACGATAGAGACCGAGGGGGCTGTGCACATGCACTAAGAGCATGCGCTGCCCTGCAAGGTGTCAGCTGTGGGAAGCTGAGGGCAGCAAGCCTCTGAACTTACCTAGACAGTGTGCATCCTGTCTTGTATTCATATACTCATCTTGCAAATACTTTACAAACATGTATGTTACTTGGATTGAGTCAAAGGGTTCAATACACCTGACCTGAGTTCAGATTTGCCAAGCAGATGGGTTACTAAATACGCACTGGAGGTTTTCATGTAAGTTAGTGACACACTTAAAGTTTTGCTTTGCTGGCTCTGAAGACTAAAGTGGCTGTCAAACTAGGTCTGAGGACAAATAGGTTGAAAGTGAGTCACTTGCTATTATCAGCACAGCTGCACTGGAGAGGTGCTTTCATTTGCACGTCAAAGGGTAGAGGTGAGGTACTGCAGCAAGAGCAACCAGGAGGACATTGCAAGAAGTTACAAAGACAGAGTTTGCCTCTCTGTTACCTTCCCTGTATTATTGATTACTTAACTGCATCCTCTTAAATGTACATTGCTCTGATTTGTAAATTTTACTCCCCTTTAAATCACTTCAAAGTTTTGCTGATAACGCTAAAGAAACATTAAAACAAGTCATGTAAATTTACATTTAAAGCCTGCATTTCAATCTAGAAGCATGCAAATGCCATGCTGATACCTGTCAAATTTCACCTCAAGTTTCACCAACAGCTTCCTCACATTAGTAAGTCTTGGACAAACCAGTGATGACGGTAGTTTAACACAAAAATAGAAACTGTAATTTGGATGTTTGACTTAGTCTTTTCCCTGATTGCTTTGTCTTTCAGTTTGATTGGCTTCAGACAAGAACGTCAGGCTAATAGCACTGAAACTGCCATAGTGTTGCTTATTTATAACAGTTCCTTTTGTTCATGCTGCTAAATAAGGTGGCAATAAATATTCATTGCAGTTGTGTTGCACCAAATGGGAATCAGAGATAACTCCTCACACTCTGAATTGCATTTTATACTTAGTGTTTGCCACCACACTTGGCATTCATTATCTTTTGCTGTCAAATATCCTGTGTTTTCTTATTCAGTGACCTCATGTGTTTTAAATTATTTGTGGTTTACTAACAAATATTTGAAGAATGTTGCAGGTCCTCTTGGCAAAAATCAGTGAAATGTAACTGAACCAAATCTAATTGTCTGTGTGATTTAG